GCCCCCCATGTTGGGGACGATTGTCTTTAACTGAGTTTTTTGTCATTAACTGAGCCAATATTTTGATGCAAAAACGTGTCGTTATTCAATTTTTACGTTATTCAATGATGTCCTTAACTGAGGGTCCACTGTACCTGAATAAACTTACATGCTGTCTTCTCAACTGACCATGCTATCTTCCCCACCATCCACTCTGCTTTCCCCACCATCCATGCTGCCTTCCCCACCACTCATGCTGTCTTCCCCCACCACCCACTCTGTCTTTCCTTTTCAATATCTGTATCTGGTATCCTGGGCATTGTTTTCAGTCACAAACTCCTAAAACCATAAAATTCATCTTCACTGACACTTCTATCTGTGTTAGAACTATCACTTGGGAAGAGTCCCAATTCACCCGGGAGTGAGATATTTCTTATTGCGAAGCATGATAAACAAGGACTACCGAAATGGTGTTCCCACAATGCAATGTGGGCGGCCCAATCATTTTTTTTATACTGTGCACACTGACTAAACAGACCCACTCTCTCACATGCAGGCCTACCAGCTTTCTCCCACTAGATTTGAAGCTGCTAGGATTTTGGTATATTAATACATCACTGACACTGGCTTGCAAGCTGTACCTATATGTCACTGACAGTGAAAGTGTTAAACACTTTATCCAATATGGTATAAAAGTGCTTTGATGATACCATGGCCTACAATTTCTCCAAAAAAACAATGTTTATTATTAAGGTTTCTGTCGTTTACTATGTAATAAGCTCCCAATATCTTCTGTCTTTAAAGCAGACCCAAAAATACTTTAATATCAGTGTTGGATGAGGAAGAAATATTAGTTTATGACACTTGACACCACTTCTGGCAAAGCTTTCTTTCTAGTATGACTTTTCATGTGACTCTCTAAATGTAATCTTTTAGAAAGTCTCACAGGCATTATGAACACTAATACAGCCTCTCCCCAGTATGAGTTCTCATGTGTTTTACTAAATGTGATTTTCTAGAAAAGTCTTTCAGACATTGTGAACACTGATATGGCTTCTCTCCAGTATGAATTTTCATGTGCCTTACTAAATGTGAATTTCGAGAAAAGTCTCTCAGACACTCTGAGCACTGATATGGCTTCCTTCCTGTATGAATTCTCACATGTCTTACTAATCTTGATTTTCTGGAAAAGTCTTTCAGACACTTTGAACACTGATATGGCTTATCTCCAGTATGAGTTCTTATGTGTCTTTCTAAATCTTGTTTGCTGGAAAAGTCTTTCAGACATTCTGAACACCGATATGGCTTCTCTCCAGTATGAGTTCTCATGTGACTTACTAAATATGATTTTCTAGAAAAGTCTTTTAGACATTCTGAACATTGATATGGCTTCTCTCCAGTATGAGTTCTCATGTGACTTATTAAATATGATTTTCTAGAAAAGTCTTTTAGACATTCTGAACACTGATATGGCTTCTCTCCAGTATGAGTTCTCATGTGACTTACTAAATATGATTTTCTAGAAAAGTTTTTTAGACATTCTGAACACTGATATGGCTTCTCTCCAGTATGAGTTATTGTGTGTCTTTCTAAATTATTTTTCCTGGAGAAGTCTTTTAGACATTCTGAACATTGATATGGCTTCTCTCTAGTATGAGTTCTCATGTGACTTATTAAATTTGATTTTATATTAAAGTCTTTCAGACATTCTGAACAGTGATATGGCTTCTCTCCAGTATGAGTTCTCATGTGTCTTACTAAATAACATTTTTCAGAAAACTCTTTTAGACACACTGAACATTGAAGTGTCTTTTTGTCTATAATAAATTTGGTCAGATATCCAGACTGAGGTTGTTGTGAAGATTTTTTGACTGAGTGCGAATGTTGATCTAATTTGTCTCCATGAACAACTGTACATTGTGTTGCTTCAACACATTGTTTTTTCAGGTATTTTAGACATATTGAACAATAAGTTCTCACATATTTAAACTGTTTAGCCAGAGAAAATTTGAGAATATTTTATTACACAGAAAACTAATATTTCTGTATTATTTTATTATAAATATAGCAAGCACTAAACATATAAGGGTAATAGAGTATCTGAGGAGTAGGAAGGATGACACTACCAGATATTTATGACACATTAACCTTATGACAATGTTGTTGACACTGTAAGTGATGTATTACCAAAACTGTCTTCACAGTGTTGTCACTTGTCACTATTAACATCGTAGTTAGTGTTTGACTGAATTACACTGTAGTTAGTGTTGTCACTGTATAAACATCATAATCAGTGTTGTCACTGTATAAATACAGTAATATAGAGCTTACAGGAGTTCTTTTGATACAGATGTTGGTACTACAAGTGCCATCACCTTGTACCAGGATGACCTGCAGTATTGACACTACAAGTGCCACCTTCTTCTACCAGGTTGACCTGCAGTACTGACACACAAGTGCCACTTTCTTGTACCAGGATGACCAGCAGTATTGACACTACAAGTGCCACATTCTTGTACCAGGATGACCTGCAGTATTGGCACCACAAGTACCACCTTCATGTACTAGGATGACCTGCAGTGTTGACACTACAAGTGCCAGCCTCGAGTAACAAGATGTCCTGCAAAATAAAATTGAAAATTTATAATCTTCTCTTGTAATCATTATTATAATTAATTATAATTATTAGAATTATTATTTTAAACATACCAGCCATCTGCCACTGAGGTAAGGCGATTCAATAAACAAGAACACTTTCTCCACCACTCCATCACTGTCTTGCAAGAGGAGGGCTGACATTACACTTCGGATGTCCATCCAAACTGTAAATATTCCTACTCATCCTTCAGAGTGCAGGCACTGTACTTCCCACCACCGCCACCCCTCTCTAAGAGTGAACACACTGTATATTCTGCCTCCAATCCCTCTTTCAGAGTGCAAACACTGCACTTTCCTCCTCCACAACCCCTCCTTCAGAGTGCAGGCACTGAACTTCTCACCTCCAGGACTCAAGTCAAATTAACCAGTTTCCCTGAATGTTGATAAATTAGACACATGTGCAACTCTTGGGTATCTTTTTTGAGGAAACGTTTCGCCACACAGTGGCTTCATCAGTCCATACATAGAAGAAACTTGAAGAACAGGAGGAGAATGAGGTAATCAGTCCCTCAACCTTGAGTCGATGTGTTCAGTCCATCAATCTTGAGTAGAATACGGCAGATGAGCGAAGAAGCAGCTTATAAACCGTATGGCAGGAGAGGTGTAGCAGTCATAGGTAGTGTCACATTTGTTCAATGTGGAAGTAGGTTGTGCCCAAGAATTAGGCAAGCGAAGAATTCCTAAGTATTAAGATCCCAAGAAGTTGCAGTGTCTGACAGGTTTGTAGATGAATGGTTCAGAGAACCGACATGTTGATAAATTAGACACATGTGCAACTCTTGGGTATCTTTTTTGAGGAAACGTTTCGCCACACAGTGGCTTCATCATCCATACATAGGAGAAACTTGAAAGAACAGGAGGAGAATGAGGTAATCGTTTCCTCAAAAAAGATACCCAAGATTTGCACATGTGTCTAATTTATCACATGTCGGTTCTCTGAACCATTCATCTACTTCCCTGAATGTCTTCACAAATGCTGTCTTGCTCATGCTCCAATAGCATGTCACATCCCAAAAAACATTGCCTTTATAACATTTCCACACATGCCTGCTGGTGTCCAAACCCCTTGCACATAAAACCTCCTTTACCCACTCCTTCCAACTTTCCTTGGATGGGTCCTACCTTGCTTTCCCTCCACTACAGATTTACATGCCCTCCAAGTCATCCTATTTTTCTTCCATCCTCTCTAAACATCCACAGCACCTTAACTCCTCCTCAGCTCTCTGGATGATACTTTTAGTAACTCTGCACCTCCTTCTAATCTCAAAGCTACACATTTTCTGCATAATACTTATACCAAATTCAAAATGGAATGTAAGAGGGACCTGGAGACGTGACTAATGAACAGAGAAAATTTTATTTTATTGCCAGGAATGTCTGTCTTGTTTATTCTGGACCCTATTTTGAAACTGGCATCTTTTGAAATTTGTGTGAAATTGGTCAAATTGCCAATTTCTGACCACTTTATTGGGTGGTTGAAATCAGTAAATGGGCAGTTTCTGTATTCAATCGAATAGACAAATGGAGTTTAGCGAAGTAGCTATGATTTTAGTCAACTGGAGCAATGGAATTGGCCAGAAATAGGGCTCAAAGTGGGCGAAATAGCCAATTCATAAATATCGCTGATATTGCTAACTTCATGAGAGCATAATTTAACCCTTAAACTGTCCACACGTAGATTTGTGTTCACATGTGGGGGCTCTGAACGTAGATCAATGTTTTATTTTTCATTCCTTCAAATTTGGCACAATCGGCTTGAGTCGCCTAGACATGAGAGAATGGGTCTGTTCACTCAGTGTGTACACTATTAAAAAAATCTGGGAGCACTTAGTACCTTGTGGGACCACCAGTTCATTTGAGCGCCATTTTAACTCGCAGCAATGGTTCTAAGTTGGAAAAATTCAGATTCAGGAAGGATATAGGAAAGTACTGGTTTGGTAATAGAGTTGTGGATGAGTGGAACAAACTCCCAAGTACCGTTATAGAGGCCAGAACGTTGTGTAGCTTTAAAAATAGGTTGGATAAATACATGAGTGGATGTGGGTGGGTGTGAGTTAGACCTGATAGCTTGTGCTACCAGGTCGGTTGCCGTGTTCCTCCCTTAAGTCAATGTGACCTGACCTGACTAGGTTGGGTGCACTGGCTTAAGCCGGTAGGAGACTTGGACCTGCCTCGCATGGGCCAGTAGGCCTTCTGCAGTGTTCCTTCGTTCTTATGTTCTTATGTTCTTAGAGCAAATAGCATGGCAACACCAGGGATTCACCTGATGCCATGTCATATGTCACATTTAAGAGGAAAGTAAAAATAGGTTAGATAAATACATGAGTGGGTGTGGGTGGGTGTGAGCTAGACCTGACTAGCTTGTGCTACTAAGTCTGATACCGTGCTCCTTCCTTCAGTGGATGTGACCTGACTTGGTGGGTCATTGAGGGGGGGTACCATGGACCTGCCTTGCATGGGCCAGTAGACCTGCTGCAGTGTTCCTTCTTTCTCATGTTCTAATGTATTCAGCTGGCTGGCTGGCTTTGGCTGTCTCTGTATCTGTCTATATCTCTGTCTATCTCTGTCTCTCACATGTACTCATAAGTACAGTTATTATACATAATGTAAATTACTTAGGATAACCCAAAAAATTCCAGCCCAAGTGCTATACAGTGTTTGTAGATACAAGATGTAAATAAACAAGACCACACACAGACCATAGACAGATAAGCTGAACTAGACAGACAGATAAGCAGAGATAGGCAGAGACAGATAGACAGACAGATAGATGTACAGATGGGACAGACAGGAAAAAGGGTAGCCCAGATGATGAAAAATTTACAGGGACATGTTTGTGTGAAAGAGAAAAAAACATATAAAGGCAAGTTTTCCCTCCAGCAGGGCACATTAAATCAAAATGTCACTGTCATCTGCCCCCTTGTCAAAACCCACCATTTTCAAGGAGTTTCATACCCGTGTGTCTAAAAATTGCTGGGACTCATAAAAACTTTGTATAAATTTTTTGGGAAAATAGTCAATGGCCAAGGCAGGTAAAAATGTTAAATTTGTCAATGTGATTTGTACTATTGAGTATATTTCTTTTAATTAATATTAGTTCAGAGAAAAGTTTGGGCTTTTAAATCAAAAGGGAATTATTATAAATTTTTAATCATTTTTCCCTCATCGCCTCCGACCCGTGTGGACGGCTGCGCAGCGATCCTGTTTGAGTTTTTTTTTGGCAGTTTCCCTGTTTAAAGGCGCCCCTAGGGTTGCTTGGGGGAAAACTTTTATTTTCCCCAAAACATGGCCCCGGGAAATAGAAAAGGGAAAAAATAAACCTTGTCTGCTTGAGAGGTTTCCGGGGGTTGCTGTCAAGGACCCCAACGGGTTTTATTATTACCAGCATCTTTCCCGCGATACCTATGGTATGCAAATGGGGAAAAATTTTGTGGGGGTCGCTTTAAATGGAATGAAAAGAACCTTCTTTAAAGATGACGTCTGCCAGGGTTAACGAGGCGTGGTGGGACAAGTATAAGGGAAAAATCAAAAGGGTTTTATTAAAAGCTGTTTTCGGTGAGATTTTTCATGATGTTATCTCAAACTTTACACTGGGTGAAAATCAGGAATTTCCCTTTTGAGGCGCCCTGATTTTGATTTTCCCAGTGAACTGCGTATTATGGGACGGTTCATTAGCCACAGAAGGAGATGGGAAAAACTGGGACCTATGCAGGTGCGGGGGGAAGGCGCTTTTAATTTTAAAATGACCTTCGCACCCTTTTCCCTTTCCCATATATTGTGTTGAAAAAATTAAGGACTCAAGTCTATGTAAGTATGGGGGGGCAAAAAACTTTACGGTCGGCTATTGGGTCATATGACCACATCGCGGGCGTGGGGGGGAAACGAAGTGGGTACCCGGCAAACGGCAAGGGCAACGGCAACGCAGCAAAAGCGCCGTGGAGGGGGGTTGGGGCGATGACGAAAACAGTCTTTTGCTACACCGCCCCAACAACGGTTGTCTTGGAGTGAGGGGTGGACAAAAAAAGGAGTCGAATCGCCAATTGTAACGCTTCATGGAGAATCTCAGTCATTAGACAACAAAAGGTTTTTTTTGGGGAAAGGACTACTAATATGGGTAAAAAGAAGTGGGGGCCCGGTTCTTTGGAAAAGGGTGTTGGATGATTTGGGTTAGAGGAATCGGCCCTAGATCAGGTGGAAGACCCAGGTTAGTTCTGGGGAAGGCTGTAAATTGAGGGTTATGGCAGAAAAATGACGGTTTGTGGGCGGAGAGTCTAAGGACTGAAGGTGCATGCAGTAGAGGTGGGGGTGCATCGGAAAGGTGTTTTCAGATTTTAAAAATTGCGGTGGAGGGGGCCGAAAGAGGACTCCCGCATCATCGGATTCTGTTGATGTGCAAACTCCTCCCCAAAGCCCGGGGGAAAAAGTCTTGGGTGGAGGAAAGAAGGGGGAAATGGTGAACCCAAGGATAAAAGGGATTGCAAAGGTGATTCCCAAAAAAGGGGGGGAGGGACAGGGGGTGTTTGGAAAAAAGGGAAAACGGGGGGTAAAGTCAATCCCGGGGGGAAAAAAGGGAAAACCCCTTTGGGTTGAATTAAAGTGTTTTACTAAAAAATTTTTAAAAGGGTTGAGGGTGAGGGAAGCTTAAGGGGTTTTAAATGAGTTTTTGGTGCGACTTGGTGTGGATGTGGTATTCTTACAGGAAAATAATTTTAGGCCTGGTTATGAGTTGGATATGAGGGGTTTTTAATGTGTTCATGGAACATGGGGACACGTTTGAAAGGGGGGGGCTGCCTTTTTTTGGTACAGGAAACAAACCCGTTTTTTGGAAGGCTTGGAAGGGGGGGGGGGAGGGTAATTAGAGGGGAAATGGAACTTGGGGTAGGGTTCCCTTATTTAGTTTTGTGTTATGGTCCGGTGAGGGTGACTTGAGATTAAAACTAAATTTTTTTGGGGGAAGTGCGG